CACCACAGTGTTTTATTATTAATATTAAAATAATTAATAAAAAAATCTTTATTTTAAATGTATTTTATTATATAATAATAATTACTATTACTACTGTCTATCATTGTCTAAATGTATTTTTACTGTCTAAATATATGTATTCAGCTTGTGTAAACATGCACGATGCTATCATAGCGAATGCGTGGCTGAGACTGAAACTTTATCCTTTGTTTCTGCTGAGAGACGTGCTGCGTGACTCATTTCCCTGCGCGTACAATTTATCTTAGGTCGGCGTTCACGGTTTGACTTCTGAGATTCAGATTGAGTTCCGGGTAATTTTTTTTTTCGAACTGGTTGGTTCGACTTTTAAGAAATTCGAGTTCTAATGAGTTCAAGAACTGAGGTACCACTGTATATCGGTTTAATGACTTACAGAACAGGGTTTTCTATTTGTAAATTAACAATCCTTTCTCCTGTTTCCATGGTTGTGCTTTTCTCTGCACGTGATGAAGAAGGAGAGAATAATGAAAACCTGAGGTAAGCATTCAGCAGCATTTACAGTAGTGTGGGGGTCCAGCTAGCAGCATTTACCTGGTCACATTGTAATGGGAAACTGCCATCATATTTATGAGAATTACGATATTGCTTTTCATTTTTTTTCTTAATTACAATAAACTTAAGATGGCATCCCATCCAGGGTGAGCCCCTGCCTTCTGCCCTGTGCTGCTGGGGATAGACTGCAGGGTTGTTTGGTGGATGGATGTATTTTATAAAACCGTATAACATGTTTTATAATAATCATAATAGAAAATGCTGGCAGTTTAAATTCTCTAGCTATTTTCATGCTCTTTGTTAATGTTTCCTGATCCCCCCCCCCTCTCCGCTTTTGAGGGGGAGAAAATAAAACTTCGATAAGTAGAATCCTTCAATAGGTCTGGATACCTTGATATTTGAACTCATCAAACTGTGTTGACCATCACAAACTACTCATAGCATCTGTTTGCTGCAAGTAGGAGTCCCCTCACACACTCGCACATCCCCGTGTCTGTGTACACATGCGGACTCATTCCCGTGTCTGTACACACATGCTCACTCTGTCTCCCCTTATCGCCGCTTGTAGGTAGACAGAGTAAAATCTGAGAATTCCTATTCTGCCGTTGCAGTCTTCGAGTCCTGAACAAGTTGAGAGCTGCCTTAAATTGTGCTGGATGAAGTTTTGGTCACGAGGACCAAAGCCGTATGCAGTACATAAAAAAAAAGCAACCCGGAAAAACAATCTGTCATACATTTCTTGCTATTTGAAAGAACACTAAGTAGACACAAATTCTACATAGGCTTAATCTATTGCATGTAATAAACATGAGATGAAAATAACTAGAGGTGAAACTGTATGAAAATTTAATATCGTGATTATCATGACCAAAATTACCAGTTATCAGTATTATCGCCGTGTTAAAATGGGCCAAAAATGTTTAAAAAGTACTGAAACCATTTCACCAAGTTTTATATCGAAAACCACTAATAAAATTAGCAGCACTATACACTTAAAACAAAATATTGTAGGCAATAAAATAAACCAATAACCAAAGTTTTTTAAAATAATAATAATATTTAAAAAATTCATCAGCATCATAATAAAACAAACACCGTGCATTCCGCTATCACTGACTCTATAGTTTGTTCTTGCCTCTATACTTCCGTCCTATTCTATTACAGTGATTCCTTGGAACACAAAATTAATTCATTCTAGAAGACTGGTCGAGTTGCGATTTGCTTGAGTTCCAAGTCGACATTAACGTACATTAAGAAATAACGTAAATAAATTTAATCCATTCCAGAACCCCAACTGATTGCCTGTTTAAACTTATCTACCTACCTGATTAATGATAAAAAGCATTAACAACCTAATTCACATATGAAACAGCACACAAACAGAAGCAATAAACATGAAGTAAATGAGAACCCCATACTCTGAAGCGAGAGCAGACACACGTGCGCCACCTTCAAGTCTCGCTATAATTTCCTTTTTCCAGTTACTCTCACTGCTTTCCTATTTGGTTTTCTGCTATCACTGCTCACTTTCTTAGGGGCCATGATTACTGTTTCACTAAATGTACTGTAAATCAAGCACAAAAAAAATCACACTGAACACAGGAACACAGCTTTTGCACGTCAAACTTGGTTGATCGGTCAGCCCATCAGAGACGCGTTTCGATCTGTACAAATTTTAGCAGGTCCATTTTGATTTGTCGTGTTCTGAGTTTTCTGTCAAGTTGTGGTGAGATTGTTCTTGGCCGACCCATTCGAGATCCGAACAGGTAAAGTTGAACGCGTCTTGACTTTTGATTGAAGTACATTGAAACAGCTAGTAAACGTTTCATCCCTATTGTCAACAATTTTCCTATATCATTGATATGCTAATTTGTTACTGCAACAAAGAAAATGACTTGACATTAAATGATGTTTGTCAGAGTAAAGCTTTAAATCTATTAACGTATCCTGTTACAGAAGCAGGGCATGGTGCAGGTGGGAAAAGAGTATGATGATCCACTTGTGACTTGAGACAGAGGTGTTTATTAACAAAATGGAACACAATGGGGAAGGCACTTAATAAAAGGACCACGAGGGGTCAAAACAAAAAGGAAAGTAACAGAAAGTAACAGAAGGAAAAGTAACAGAGCAACCTAAGAAACTAATAGTGTAACCAAGGAAGCTCAACTAACCACGACTAACTACAAGAAACCAAATGGAAACAAAGTCAGGGAACAAGGCAACGCCAGGAGCAAGAACAGGGGGGTATTCCATGAAAGTAGCTAAAGAAAGGCAGACTTTCCCGAAAAACTCAAATTCAACCTAGCTCCATCTCTAAACTTAGCCTCATATCGTTCCACAAACCCAGTTCAGCTTTAACTAATCAAGGCTCATTCAAGACAGACTTGCATAGTCTCACTTAGTGCGCACACCCGCCATTTTTAAAAAGCCCAAATGAATGAATGATAGATCGATCAAATTAGTCGGAAAGCCTGTAAAACGAGAGCGGTGTTTCTTTCCGCTGCAGAACAAACTTTGCTGATGGAGCTGTATGAAAAATACAAAGATGTAATCGTTAAAAAAGGCAATACTGTGGCCATAAACAATGAATTGCAGAAAGACTAAATGCATAAGTTACATAAATGTTACAAGGGCTTAGTATAGTGGCACGGTAGTACAGTGGT